CAGCCGTGTTAGTCTGTATTCGCAAAAAGAAAAGGAGGACTTGTGGCACCTTAGAGACTAATCAATTTATTTGAGCATAAGCTTTCGTGAGCTACAGCTCACTTCATCGGATGCATACTGTGGAAACTACAGAAGACATTATATACACAGAGACCATGAAACAATACCTCCTCCCACCCCACTCTCCTGCTGGTAATAGCTTATCTAAAGTAATCATCAAGTTGGGCCATTTCCAGCACAAATCCAGGTTTTCTCACCCTCCACCCCCCCCACCCCCACAAACTCACTCTCCTGCTGGTAATAGCCCATCCAAAGTGACCACTCTCTTTAAAAAGCTATTACCAGTAGGAGAGTGAGTTTGTGTGTGTGGTTTTTGGAGGGGGGCGGGGGTGTGTGAGAGAACCTGGATTTGTGCTGGAAATGGCCCACCTTGATTATCATACACATTTTAAAGAGAGTGGTCACTTTGGATGGGCTATTACCAGCAGGAGAGTGAGTTTGTGTGTGGGGGGGCGGAGGGTGAGAAAACCTGGATTTGTGCTGGAAATGGCCCAACTTGATGATCACTTTAGATAAGCTATTACCAGCAGGACAGTGGGGTGGGAGGAGGTATTGTTTTATGATCTCTGTATGTATATAAAGTCTGCTGCAGTTTCCACGGTATGCATCCGATGAAGTGAGCTGTAGCTCACGAAAGCTCATGCTCAAATAAATTGGTTAGTCTCTAAGGTGCCACAAGTACTCCTTTTCTTTTTACCTATAGGTCTTCATGCTGCTTACCTAACTGCGAGGCAACACTTATGTGCAATTAGTGTGCCCATGGAGTTGGTTTGCAGGTGAGGTTGCCTATTTAGGAACTTCAGGAGTGGGCTTGTGATATTGCCTCCATGTTGCTTGAACTGTTGTGTTTTTCTTGATTGATGTAACAAATAATCCCCCAATAGGTGGGTAAATGTCCAGATCTCTGCAGACAGAGGAACTGTAACATCTCTTGGGGAGATATTTTAATCCTAAATGAAGGACCATAAAGAACAGGGTTTCAGGAAGATACTCTCTCCCCATCTAGCTAATTCTTCTGCTCTATGAGTTGTCTGTGTCCCAGGTTCTAGAATGGAGAGATGGCTCATAGCGCAAAAGGGTGTGGAAAGTTTATTTAATATAACATTTCCCCTTGGCTTTCTGAGAAGAGGCAAAGTGTGTGCAGCAGCTATATTGTTTCAATGAAGGTTCACTTTAAAGTGGAGATTGCCTAGTTCTAAATATTATTTACATCTGGGTTGGAATGGCAGCACCTAATAGCTCAAGCTTAAAAACATTCATATTTGTTAGAGGAGTTTCTCTTTGTACCTTGGCAAGCTGGCAATCGGCATGAAAAGTGTCCATTAAATTCTGTCGCTAAAACTAAGCAGCTAATCGGAAAATCTTTTCCCATTTAAACAAAAAAAAATTCTGAAAACCTCTACTCCTCCTTGCAGAAGTTCCAACCCCCTGCCAAACTACATATTGACCAAATGAAGAGTAGCATTCAAAACCATTTCCATTAAAAAAAAATATTGGCACTGTAACTTACGTATTTATAAAACATTAATAATCAAGCTCATGACTGCATCTTCCCGGTTGCAATTGGTTCCAATTATGCTCAGTGTGGTGGTTGCAGTACTCAGTGGTGAAATAATTTATTTTAAATTGCCTAGCGATTGTAGTAATCGTTCCAATCAGTCACTGCAATAGTAATTTAATAACCCAAGCGAAGATGCTGCTTCAGGCCTGTCAATAATCAGCTGCTGATGGCCCATCAGAAAATGCTGTAGATGTAAAAATTCAATAAACTGACGACGCTTCCTACCTGTCTTTGAATTGTCCCTGGCTGTACAGATGGGAGCCAGAATAACAGTCAGCAAAACGCACCCCAAAGCTCCAGATCAAAGCAGTATTATTGCCTCTATGCTTTTCCCCAGCTGAGGCATCAGTAAATGTTTAATTTGGGAAAGAGAATTTTAGTGTTTGGAGTTCTTATGGGATGGTTTATCTTCCTGGGTGATAATATACCCATCCCCATGACACCTATGAATGACAGCAACACCTTTGGGAGCCAGTGAGGTCTCTTTGATGACGCTAAGTTTTAAAGCTGTGCACGGGGAGCCTAGATACCGTGGCGATGGGCATGTTCTAAATGCAGAAAGCTAGGTGACCAAGAAGTCAAACTGTGCATTCAGAAATGGAGAACAGTAGCACCTGCCGCTGTACCCGTGGCTCTTTCTCAAAGCTGAACGATGATGCTAGGGATCTACAGCTCCTATTGCTCCCACATTGAGCTCTTAGAATGTGGCGATTCTGTTGATCTAAATAGTCTGGCTGAGCTACTCAGTTAGAAACCTGAGGAAGAGCAGAAATGAGTGCTGAAGGGTAAAATAACTGTGTTCTAAGTATGATACAAGTGGTGTTGGCTTCTGAGGATTAGATAGTTTTGAAATCTCCCATGCAAATCCAGGGTTCAGACTAATGGAGTATGCAACACGCGTGCTTTTTATAACAATAACATCTTGCTTTTCAGCTTGCAAAAGTGAAAAGCCTTTAGTGTTAATGGAAAGACTTTGATCCCATTAAGATTAATGGAAACGAGAGGGAACTTTAATCTGTGAAATGGACAAAAGTCAAGCCAGTCTGGAGCCTGAACAATCTCGATTCCCACAAGTTAACTAAAGGCTGAGACATGTGGTGGTTCTTAGGATTAGGGGAAGTGGAAACAATGTCTCCTAGAATGCTGCTCCTGCAAAATGGGATTTTGATGTAATATTTGAAAGCTGTTTTGCCTCAGGCAGGAAGGTGTTAGCTGCGTTATGTAATTGCCCTGGAACTCTAAAGCCTTTACTCTGTTTCGCTTTATTTCTGTGACTGAGTTAGCATCCACTAACGACAGATGGGTAGGCCGTTAATATGCTGCGGTGTTGGAGCAATCCCTTTGCACCTCGGGTATGTCTACACTGCACCTTTTTATCTATTTGTATTACAATAGTGCTTAGAGCACTCAGCTGAGATTGGGGGCCCACATGTATGCACATAGTAATAGACAGTCCGTGCTCCAAAGAATTGACAATTGAAATAGACAAGACAGACAAAGTCGGGGGGGGGGGGGGAGAAAGGGCTATTGCCATTTACCCATGGGGAGCTGAGCCACAGAGAAACTAAGCGACTTCCCAAAGTCACACAGGGAGTATAGATCATTAAAAATCAATAAATTTTCCCCTGTAGTGCTTGCAGCCCAAACTTTGCAGCATGTTGCTAGTGGATAAGAACCAGTAAGTGGAATGGAGTAGAAAGCGACATGTCTGAAGCTGTTCGCTATGTTTAAAACAGTGGTGATAAGTAAACTAGGCCATGAAAAATGATTTCACTTGTTGTCAGCAAAGGTGTAAGGTCCTTACTTAAAACTGTAACACTCCCTCTCTAAACAATTCTGAACACAATTCTCCAGCTGGGTTGGGAGACAGTGGAAGGAGATGGCTTAATTAATTGAATTTGTACAAAATTTGTCTTTCTCTTGCTATCTTTAGAATTATTTTTAATGGAAATTGAAGACTTTTTTAAAAAAAGAAGTCTTCATCATTAATAAAAAAATGCTGACATATGAAAGACAAGTGAGTTTGAGATTTGTAATATGCAAAGGAGATATTTCTTCTGTTTAATGAGTGGCTAGAGCTGAGCTGACAACATGCTTTTATAACCACATCCCTCGCATTTAACTACACTTTGCATACAGGGTTCTTGGGAATAGAGAATCTCCCCTATATCTTTGGTGGCTGCAGTTACTGCTTGAGTTTAATGACAGCTTTGACAACCAGTTACTGCTTGGTAAAGACTACTTTAAGCCCTCTGCTCATTCCATAAGTGCTACATTCAGCTTCTGAAACCTTGCTAAATATAAGTAGAATTGAGAGAGTGCTAGCATGTTAGAAATGTGTTAAGTTGTCTTTCCAAGGCTGCAAAACCCTAAGGTGAGTTTATTCCTGATGAGCTGTCTCCTTTCCGAGATATCAGTTTGCCAAAAAACCAGCCCACCTAGTGATATACAGCGAGAGCTTTCCACTTCTTATGTTAATTTCCACAACATACCAAACATCCCACTTTGCACCCTAATTTCCTCCTCATTGCCTTAAATTAGATCCATACCATATGCTATTAAATCTATATTCCATGTACGTATCTTCTTTTAAATACAGGATCATTTCTTAAATTAAGAATTTTTAAATTAATAAAACTGAGCTTTGTTGATAAAATAATACTACCTAGCTCTTATAAAGGGCTTTTCATCAGCAGATCTCAAAGCAGTTTACAAAGGAAATCAGTATCATATCCCTCATTTTACAGATGGGGAAACTGAGGCACAGAAAGGTTAAGTAATATACCCGGGCCTGACCACTAGGAAACACTACCTGCATTATAGGTGTACTGTTAGGGAGAGTGATATACCCAGCACGTTAAAACAAACATTATATTCCCTGTGGAAAGCATTGCTGTATGCATAGCAGAGAGATGGACACCTACTGACTGGCTGCTCCATGTATACTTGTGACCACCTCCTAATCAGCACAGTACCCAAGCCCTTCACAAGCTGTACCAAATTCCTCATTCTCACCAATTCAGTTTTTCAGATGTAAAACTGAGGCACAGAGAGATGAAGGGACTTGCCCAAGGTGTCACAGGGAGTCTGTGGCAGAGCTGGGAATTGAACTCGCATCTTCTGACTCCCAGTCTAGGGCCTTAATCCCAAGGCGATCCTTCCTCTTGAATTCCCATTCTGTGCAGGCACCTACACAATGCTCAGAATAGTCAGTGCAAGGGACTCGCTCCCACCTGAAAATGGAGTGCGAACGCGGCCACTAATTAGTGTCTAATGTGTCGTTTCTAACCCCACATTTCCTTGTATGGCATGTGAGACGTTTGCCACCTTGTCACCTTTAAAAAACAAAAACAAAACTTTCTTCTTCTCCCTGCACAAGGTATGACCCCATGACACAGGAATGGAGATGTGGCGTGGCCCGCCTGAGCGAAGGCAAACGAGACATGGGCGTAGCAGAGCTGGGCGGCTATCTGTACTGTGTAGGAGGCCGTGATGGGATGGTACACCTCAGCACTGTGGAAAAGTATCGGAACCCGTGTGCGGATGGACATAACTTTCATGGACTGTGCTCTGTAGGACTGCCAATGTCTGAGTTCATAGTGAACAACTGGGATTGTTACAGCCACTGAAGTTGCCGTCTTGGCTAGAGAGCTTTTGTTTAATATGGAGAGAGGTGTCAATGTTGACTCGATGTCCTCCACAGCCATGAGGCACCCAATCTCCGCCAATCAGGGGAGCTGGGACATGGAGGATTCTGGTTTGTAATTCACCAGATGGCCAGCGGTCTGCTCTCCTGTCTGGGTGCTGGTCGGAACCTGTTCTGTAGGCAGAGGGCTTAGGTCTCCTGGGCTCTTCAATCTGACACCTTTCGCCAGCACTAAATTCTCCTGTTTTGATTTCTGAAAGGGCACAGATCCCCCAGCCAAAGGACAGAGGAGGGCAAACAGGGCTTGTCTGATAGGGATTGTGAGTGGAAACGTGTGTATCCTGTTCTCAGGGGGCCTTGTATAGAGACAGGCTGAATTCCAGACACCCTGCTCGTAACTTAGCCCAGAAAGAAGCTCTCATGTGCCGTACCTGGGACAGTCTGGGGCATTCTCTTGTTTTAGGTATGATCCTGGTGGGAACAGGTGGTGCAAGATGGCACCCACGGGCTTAGGGATGGCAGTGCTAGACGGCTACGTCTATGCTATCGGGGGCTCGGATGGCCAGTCTCCGCTGTATTCAGGTAACAGAGATAAGTTGGCAGAGCAATGAGCCCCTGTCTCAGAGGAGTGTATGATTCCCATTGATGCCCACACCAATATATTTGGCCTTGGGGCTCTATGGCAATTTAGTCTCTCTCCACTGCTCTGCCTCCCTGCCCTTCCCCCCAAAAGCAGAGGGAGCCCTCCGCCACCTGGAGAGAATGAGGAAGCTGGCCCAAGCAAGCAGAGCCCCCGGCGCCATCCCCACTTTCCCTCCAGTGACACCTCCAGCATGGAGTCAGAGATGGTTCCATGTTGCCCATGCTCAGACCTGGCCACCCTTTGCTGCTCCCCAATTATGAATCCTTTCCACTGTTCAATCCGTTTAACGGAGGCCCAGGCGGGCAGCCTCCTAGCTGTCTGATCCCTGGGGGTGTGTGGATTTTTTTTGTTAACTTCTTGTGCGTCAGTAACAAAGCTTAGCTGCTGGGTGCTTTTAATCTTCAAAGCATTTTGCAGCCATTATTGACTCAGTCCTCTCAGTGTCCCTGTGAGGTAAGCGAGTTTTATTTTCCCTATTAGATAGTGGGGAAACTGGGGCACAGAGTGATTGAGAGATTGGCCCAAGCTCCCAGAAGTAAATCTAAGATTTACCAAAGGACACAAGGGCCAGAGTTGGGATTAGAACCCAGGATCTTGTGGCTCTTTCCTGGGCATCTTTCTTCTGGTTTCTCTCCCAGTGGAACGTTACAATCCAGAGGAGGATGCATGGTCTTCTTGTTCTCCCTTGGGCACCTACAGAGAGAATTTTGGCTGTGCTACGCTTCAAGGGAAAATCTACACTGTCAGTGGCCACGATGACTTCACGGAGCTCTGCAGTGCTGAGCGGTTTGATCCAGTCACCAATGAATGGTCACCGATGATGCCCATGAAATCAAAGAGGAATAAGGTATTGCATGCGAACAGTCTTTTACACTCCTCAAGCTTCCATCCAAGGATCCTGTAGTGCTTTGCGATGGGGGTCTAGTTCATTATTACTCCCACATCACAGGTGGGGTGTGGATATCACTGTGCTGGGACAGTATAGGAACCTAAGCGCAACAGATGGAGAAACCAAGGCACAGAGCAGGGAACTGACTTGCTCAAGACCACGCAGAAAGTCAGAACCAGAACGCTGTTTCCAGCCCATTAGATTGGTCCGGTTTTGTGCCGGTGGTCTTGGGTTAACGTTACAATGTTACCCAACTCCGATGCCCTTCCTTCTCCATCCACCCTGCCAGACATACCCTCCTCCTCAGAAAAAGGCTGGAGAAAGAGACAGGGTGTGCAGCAAGACCTGAAGGTCTCCAGATCTGGGCTGGAGGAATGAATTCCAGAGTCGGTTGCCCCTCACCAAGAGCACCTTCTTCTCTCCCATTGAATCTGGAGACATGACAGCTCAGGTAACCCGGACCCAAATAATTCAGGGTGCAGATAAACCTCCAAGTCCTCAAATTTCATTCGGAGATCAATCATCAGCCAGTTTGGGACACATAGGGCAGATAGAGTGTGTTCCCAATGGGAACCACAACTGAACAGTTGGATATGGAGTACAGTGCCCAGGAAGAAGCAGCAAAAAATATTGTGAGTTTAATAATTTATAAATTTCTTTTGTATTAGTTACCTCATCCAAATGAGGTTACCTTTTGGTTTCTTCCTGCTGGGGAAAGGATATTTGTTCCGGTGTATTTTCTCTTCTGCCCTTCCCCTGCTGAATGCAAACATATGCAATGATGAAGTAAAACTCTGATTAATGTATTTTAGCGAAGGTGAGCGGCCTTGTCGTTCTGAAAATTAGACACTGCATCACCCTCATGAGCACGTTCTGAGCCTTGTCTGCTCGTTGCATGTTAATTGTGTTTGAAAGTGCCACCTGCAGAGAAGCATAATCTCTGCACGATTACAGAGCTACACAACAGCTGGAATTTGATTATTTAAAAAAAAAAACCTCTGAAAAGTGAGGGATGGGATGGGAAGAGGAATCTCTGCATCCAGAGTCATCACTGTGTGCTCAGAAGATGGGCTGGGCAGGCATTCAGTGGTATTGTCTGGTGGCTTCTCATCAGCTTCTGCAGAATTTAAGCTTCCCTTTTCAAAACCAAGAGGGTCTGCCCACCTGTCTGTGAAGAAGCAGGGCTGCTTTGCTGAGGCTGCAAATAGATATGATCGCGCTAAGAGATGGAAGAACTGCCCTATTCCGCTCAATGGAGCCGAATGCCAGTAGTTCTGATAACTATTTCACTGCTGATCATCTTAATAGAGATGTCAGATTACACGGGCACTGCGGGCGGATCTCGAGTAGATTCTGCCTCTTTTCCTCCATCCCAGTCCCTGCCCTTGTTACTTCTGCTCCTTTTTCCATGAGCTGAGTGGTTTGGGATATTAAACTCCATTCGCTCCTAGCCAATGCCAAGCCTGTTTTGTTTTCCTTTTCAAATTGCCAGGCCTGCTTTTGGATGATTTCTTTTCTTTCTGGGCAGAGAGGCTCGAATATACCAACAGAGACGGAGAGCACTGCTGTGCGGATTCTGGGCATAGCACTGACCAGCGTAATGCACAAGATCAACAGCTGTAAGAGTCTCTACAGATGGAAACAGCCCAGTTTTCAGGGTCTCATCCCCTCCCTTTCCATTTATTTTTGCCCACAGCGTGAAAATATTCTAGAGCTCTTCAGCACCATGAGACCAGATTAGTTTTAAGCCCCTTCTGGCTTGTTCCTTTCACCCTCAGTTCTGAAGCCTGGGGATTTGTGTTTAGGTGAAAGCTGCCGCAGCCAATGGATACCTACTGGCCATCGGGGGCGGGGGGGTTGATGGTGTCACTCATGTGACCACCGTGGAAGCATTTGACCTGGATGCCAACAAGTGGAGGTAAATCGATGCCGCATTGATTATTTAAATCGGCCTTTGCTGCTCAATTAACTGCCCTTGCACTCACTCAATTGTATTTACAGCCTGGGTTTGTTAATATGAATCATTCCGGAAACCCTGTGGGTTAATGACCCTCCAATCCACAGATTAGAAAATTAACTACAGCCTGTAGATGGCCTAACACTAGCTCCAAACAAAGAAACTCACTCTCTGGAGCTGACTGGATCCACACTGGATTTTAAAATAATCCCATGTTGCACATGGGTCATTCATGTTAGTGATCATGAAAGACCCGTAATACAAGAGTCCGGGAGTCTTTTCTGTCCAGAACAAGTGCAGTGTGGGTGGTGGCCGCGCAGCGTTCCCCTAGCACATCATCCTGCCTCAGCCTGGTTCCAGGTGGACCCTTGCAGGCGTTGGAGGAAACTTCACGCTCTGGGTGTCATCGCTCTTTGGGCCTTTCTGGGGATCCACTCACTGGAACAGCCTGGCACAGTGCACCAGCTTTTGGATGCTACTTGTAAGGGCCAAATATGAACTCTCATAAACATGATCTGCATGGGAACATGGCCTTGCCACCAGTGGCCGTTTAAAACAGGGTGAGATTGAAGCACCATCCTGACTCACTCCATTACAATGATGCGATCTATTTTAGAACAGACGTACAATAACCTTGACACCACGTTGACTGTGATAAGAGTTTTCAACACAGTGATAACACACAGCTGAAAAGTATGTTTCAGGTGAGGGACTTTATAACCAATTTGGGAATATCACACAGGAGCCACTTATTCCAGTAGTTGCCCAGAACAAATAATGGCAAGGAGAGAATGCAAAGTTATCTCTGAAGGCCCAGGTCCTCAGTTGCTGTGAACAGTCATGGCTCCATTGACCTGAGCTGAGGTTTGTCAGTTTTCGCAGGTTGCGGATCTGGCCCATAGTTTTTTGAATAGAGACTCTGTAATATCCTACAGCCTCTTCTTGTTGCAGACCCTTTGGAAATACCAAGACCAGTTATCCTGATGGAGATGTGGCTGTGCTGAAAATGACCATCTAGGAGCTGAGAACTTTCCAACCATCCTGTACTGCACTGAACGCTAATGATGAAGTATGGTTTTATGGGATGGTAGTGTAAGCCGGAGAGGAGGAAAGAGCAGCAGCAGAGTGGATAAGATGGGATGGTGCCTTCAATGAGTTACTTAATCCTTTTGTGCTTAGGGGAATTCCTTAAGGCATGGGGACTGTAGAGCACAGGGTCTTCTTGAGCCTCCATTTAAAGAGTCCATGCTTTGATCATCATGCCAGGATGTGGTGGTAGCAGTTTCTTTTGCAATGTATCTCCTCATGTATGGAGTGTAGCTGTTTGGCTGGAAGAAGAGCCATGTGGTTAAAGCTCTGGACTTGGTCCTCAAGTTCTGGGCTTGGTTCCCAGATCTGCCACAAATTTGTGTGATCTCGGTCAAGTTACTTAATTTCTCTTCAGCATCTGGTATGTTGAACCCATGATCTTGGCATGGGCCTCTTGGTGCTGCTGTGATACAGCTAATAAATAATACCGACTGGAGCTCTTCAAGAGCCCCCCCCCCTCTTCTGTTTAATTTTTAGCAAGGAAAAATGCCCCCTCATGCTTTTTATACAAACACCTATTTAACATGCTTGGCTTTATTATGGTACAATGCTATTCTTATTCAGCGGAGAGCCAGATTTTTTTTAAAAGCAGGGAGATGTTTCAGGAACAAAAAACCTAATGTATCACTACCAATGTTTGCTAATATCTATCCGTCTCTCTATACGGGTCCCTGCCGGGTGGGGGCTGCTGGATAATGTGTAGCAGGGGGAAGCTAACCTTGCAGTATTGGCATAGCATGGAACTGGTGCTGGGACAGCAGCAGAGGTTATTCTCCCTGCAGAAAATCTCTACCTGCTTCACAGTCACTTTCGCGAACGTGATTAACCTGACTGAATGCCCTGGGCTGCTGTCCAGGCATGGAGTATGACTTTGAGGAAACAAATCTTCCTCTCTCAGGAGAAATATGAGCGTCCTGTCCCCCATTCTCCATCAACAGCCTGCAGGTAAATGGTGCTTTGGAAATTCATGTTGTAAGACACATGCCTAGGGAGGCGGAAAAGGACTCCTTGGATCGCTGCTGCACTCATTAGTTAGCTGAAATTGGAAGCCCTGCTGTGCCCAGCTAAGGAACCGTTCCAGAGGCCTTTCCTTCTAGCAAAGCCTCAGCATTAAGCTCGGAGTTAGTGACAAGCTTTGTACCGCTATTAGCGCCAAGAGCTCATCTGGCTTCCCGCCCCCCGCCAATCCCTTTGCATGATGATGGCATGTCCCTCTCTTGTCAAACACGATGGTCAAATACTTAGCTTTCCTCCTTCAGAGGGCTCCTTCCTTGTGAGAGGGGAAAAGACAATATGGTATCTGGGTAAGCTTCACCGTAAACCCCCACAGGAATTAATTACACCGTAATTACTGAGGTTAACGAAACCATCCCTATATGAATCGTTATTCAGTTCCAAAGAACTGAGCCATGCTTGAAATCTGAATTTTTCCAACAGCATTAATTAGTTCCCCAGAAAATTACTTTCACTCGTTCCCTGCTGCCTCTGACTCATCCTCACCCTTGCCTCCCACAGGTTTATCTATTTCTCTTCCCGTACATAGAAAAGAAAAAAAACCTGTCCCCGCCACACTGCATGAGGCATAACCAAGTTGGACAGCCAGGGTGAGGGAATGACCTACTTGTTTGAACTAGAGGGAGGCAGTTTCTTTATTATCACAACCACGCTCTTCGCCTTCAGAATGTTTTACAAAACTAACTAATCTTTGACCCTTCTCAGAAAGCTGCATGCAAGCACCACAGAATGTGATTCATAAACATTCCGTGGACAAGCAATGTTAACGGTAACCCTTTGACCTGGGCTTCCATTGTGCCGTATCCCGATTTATATTTCAAATTTAAACACAGCTAGGAAATCCATCTCCACGTCTTCCTGAGAAGCCAGGTGTGCAGGGCTGCATTTGGCTTCCCAGTTTCCCCTTCAATCATCATATCGGTCCTTAAAGAAAGGGTCAGGATCTGTCCTGAAGACTGGATGAATCCTGCTGGCTGCTATGTGGATCTGAGCTGGGCTGCGTCGTAAATGAGTGAGGTTCGTTTCTGGAAAGCTGCTCACCTCCTGAAGCCAATGTGAACCCCAGCTCTGGAAGCAGACGTGGAACCTCCAGTGAGGTGGCAGCAAAATTGTGATCATGCACCACTATGAGCTATACAGTATACGTCTTCCCCCTTATCCATCGTTTCGCGTATCCATTGCTCATCAGTAGGGGAACATGTTCCGATTCACACTGGTCCTGATCCACGCATCCCTTGCTTTGCCTTTTGCATGGCTTTTCTTTGGGTGCTTCCCCCGGCCTGCAGAAGGCGCTGGGAGGGAGGGGGAGGAGCGGAGATGGGGTGTGCTCAGAGGAGGGGGCAGAACTGGGTGGGAAAAGGCAGGCTGGGAATGGAGGAGGGGGGCAGGCCATTATTTCTTATGGGGAAAAATTCCCCGGTATCCATCGCCCTTTTCAGGAACACAACCCTCACGAATACTGGGCACCCCCTGGGGTAACTAAACCACAGACACATTTTAGAGAGCTCAGCCAGAGGGCAGACCCAGAGAATTAACCCCTATGTTGGGCTAAGTCTAGTGCAGGGATGGTGGGGAGAAGACAATGCAACTCCCCCGTCGGGGGGCGGGGGGGAAGCAGCTTCAGCGACTGCTCTGTCTTTGTGCCTCAGCTGCACTAGCCCCTCGGGGCGCTCTGGCAGCTAGGACGTA